GGTTTAGGGTTTAGGGTTTCTCATGCCCTTTCGGTCAGGACTTCGAGGACATGGCTAGCCAGCTCGTAAAGCAAGGACAGTTCGACAGCGCGGCACATGCCACGGACAGCCATCGCCCAGCGCCAGCTACAAGAAGAAATGACCGATGCTGGAGCTTCAGACAGAAAATCAGGAACCCTGGTACTAACAAGTCTCGTCCCACGTCGGCGACAGGCACTCCCACGACAGACAGCCCAGAAACGCCCCCCCCCCTTAAGCACTATAAGGATTCCCCAAGTTTTTCTGTAAGGGCTACGGCAGGTATGAGGGTTGCTGTCAGGGTTCCAAGAAGTGTTACTCTTAGTGTTACTCCGACAACCCAAGCCTTGCGGATCTCTTGCAGCACGGGATTCTTATCTGCAGATGGCGGCATGGCGGCGAGGATCCGTGGCCGAGACGGGGCTCAGGCGAACTATTGGGCTAAGCAGTCGAGGTTGAGGGTCCTTGATCATCAGAATTTTGGGGTATAGTATAGTGTATTATGATTGTAAGGACTATAAGGGGATATTTTATGACAATAGTGTTCCTGCTTCCTATCAGCCGAGCCTACCCTCAGCCTGAGAACGCCTTATCCATTGCTTTCGCTGCAGGTCAACATACCAGCTGCCTTTCTTTATCAGGCTATAAACAATCTTTATCAGGGTATAAACAATTGGACGTCGTTGGCTTGGAGTATGCACTTCGGATGCATGGATTCATCCAGCTGCTGCCATCGGTAGGGTGTTGTCTTTGGTCATTGTTTCCATCGCGATCCTTGAAGGCATGGCAGGATCCGGGCATCTTCGACCCACATGCCATGGCAGGCTCAGTTGAGGTACGTACGACACACCATCGCATGCTGCATTACAAGGCTCGTGGTCCCAAGTCTCGAAGCTGAAAGTTTTAATAAAAAGTTGCCCTTGGACGCTTGAAGCCTCCATCCTTGGCAGCCGACAGCGGCAGGAAGGGATGGTTCGAGTCCACTACGATGTCGGACAAGACCAGCGTGGGGGACTCGGCGGCATTTTATCGTGAGCTTCCGAGGGGAAAGGAGGAAAGCCACACAGAGCGCACGGCTCCGATGGGAAGCTGGGACTCCACCAGCCTGGTGCAGCAGATGACCTCGGAGAGAAGGAAGAGGATCTTAGAGTCTCTGTTTGTAAGCACTCCTTCTTGTACCTTACCCTCCCTTCGCTCACAACAGCAGCAAGCACCTCGAAGTCCACAGTCCAGCTCTCCTTGCGTGCAAAAGTCTGAAACTGCAACAAAATACTGGCGGCAGAGCTACAGCTACTGGGGTCGAGCCGCTGTGGATTATCTGTCATGGGTCTATGGCCGCCACCTTCCGGATCAAGTGGGAGCCTGCTCGACGCTCAAGGCTCCTTGTTCTCAACATCATGCCGACCGGCGCCGCCGTGCGTGATGAAGATGGCGGAGGCGCCTGCCAGGCTCGAGGCTCGGGTTTAGGGTTTAGGGGTT